CTGGGCGGGAGGAGGAAGAAATCTTGCGTCGTGTTTTGCCCAAAGTAATATTGGACAATGTCGGGCGCAAAATGCAACAAATGAGGGGAAATGGTCCAACTAATGGGGAAGCAGTTGTGGGGCATGGTGGCATTACGGCAGTAACTGACTCGCTTGCGGGTCCAATCCAGATTGCGTGTTTTCATCATTCCCACATTATCCCCATCTCCCACCACCAAGGCAATGTAGGTTGTCGAATCATTGTAGACTTGTGGAGGAGTGTACGGTTGTACCAGTGGCTTTTGAATGGGTGCCTTGCGCGACCAAAAGGAGAGTCCGGTAGCCCAATCGGTGCAGACCCCACCCATGTTGTGATTCTTGACACAGCTGGTCTGGGCCTCCCATGGATCAAAGCTATGTCCGATATGGACGTCGTCATATCCCAAGACGGCAATGGGTTGTGGCCATTGTTTGGTTTTGGGATTGTCGTGTTGTGTCATTTCCGCAACGAGAGCATTTTCTTTCGTGTGGGCAATGCATCCTTCCACCAAGTAAAAGTTGAAGAGTCGTTCCTTGACCACATAATCGACCGATCCCGACGCGGGATGGCCATTACAAGGTGGGTCTAAATGCGGGTGGGAAAAGTCATATCCCGGATCCAACTTGCAAAGGGTGGTGGTCAGGTTGGCGTAGTTTTCGTATACGTACTTGGTGGCATCGTATGCCGAGAATCCGTCGAATTCCTTTTCCGCGTCCAATACCATGGTGGCATTGGTCACCTTGGCCAGGAGTGCCGTAGTGATGTTGGAGTCCATGGTGAGAGGAATGGCATCGAGTACTCCTGCCAAGGTGATAATGTTGGGAACAAGCTTTTGCTGGGGCCGAAATTTGTAGGCAATGTACCGTCCCCGAGCGACGGTGGTGAGGCACTCGACCAAGAAATCCCACGTCTTGGTGTATGTTGGATCTTGAATGTGCTCAATGGCTGCCAGCCAATCGAGATCGTATTGATACCAAACGGGGAATGCGGCTCCAGCGATGCTCTCGTTGCGATTGAATAACCCGATACAAGAGAGAACGGAAATCTGCAAGGCCGGGTCGGCATCGAGGGTACCACCTACATCGAGAACCTTGATGGCTTGATGATCCCCATTTCTAGTACTTTTACTGGCTGCTGAGAAACAGAGCGATGTGACGAGGAGGAGGATCCTCGACCAAAGGTAGCGCACCATGGTTTCTTTCACAACTTCTTCAGCTTGATTTTAATGATGGCAAGGAGGTTGCGTGGAGTCAAGTGAAGCTGGCTGGAGCCATGCATGAATGGTGCCAACCTATCTTGTAAACGAGCGCCGACAAGCGGCGCTCGCCTACTAGAGCAGCACTGCACGACTAGTTGAGTAGAGTAGGGTGGTGGAGAGACTCGGCCATTTACTGAGCCGACCGTCTCCGCTACCCAGGGGTGCCGCTCGTGATTGCTAGAATCGCGAGAGGGAACCAAGGCACGAATGAGGCAGTCCCGCGGGATGTGAGTCCCGCGTGATTGTGCGACATTCGGCCAACCCAGGGAGGGAGAGGTGGGTTAATCTATTCTAGTTCTTGCTTGCAGCTCGGCTGAAGGAAGAATTGTGAGCAGAGAAGGAGACAACCTTCTTGCGATCGACTGTTCAATGGCTGAAAGAGAGAGTTGGACCGGTCTTGCATGTTGTGTTCATTCAAGGTTGCTATCTGTGAGCGGTCTTCGAGGGGTGCTATTGCCTTAGAGCTGATCTTGCGAAGGAGGCAGACATAGCGACATGTATGTGGGGTATCCATTTCAGGAACGCAGGTGATGACCTGAGAGATGTAGAGATGTACTTGATGAGTAGGAGCGAAGTGTGGGAATCGATTTCGTGTTTTGTGAGATGGTACAGTTTGGCAACTGTGAGTCGAGTCATTCGTCGAAGAACCCATGAGGGTTCAGGTTTCCACGCCAGGCAGCGTGGACAGATAGGGATCAGGATCGTTGTCCTCTTTTGCGTGCGGCTGCTCGACAACGAGCGCCGACAAGCGGCGCTCGCCTAGAGCAGCACAGCACGACTAGTTGAGTAGTAGATAGGGTGGTGGAGAGACCGGCCATTACTGAGCCGACCGTCTCCGCTACCCAGGGGTGCCGCTCGTGATTGCTAGAATCGCGAGCGGGAACAAGGCAACGAATGAGGCAGTTCCCGCGGGGTGTGAGTCACCGCGTGATTGTCGACATTCGGCCAACCCAAATAGGCAAAAGGCAGAACAGGGAGGGAGCGTTAGCGGGGCTGGGAAAAAACAAAAATAAAAAAATAAAGTTGGAGAGAACGAGAGGAGGAAGGTCCCTCTGAGAATTTGGACTAAGGGAGATTAGTCCTCGTAGAGTTCCGCGTGAGGGAGGATCTCTGCGATAGTAGCAGGCGCCTGAGCAGGGGGAGGGAACTTGGTCGTAGTATCCGCCTGGAGGTGTAGGCTCCTGGGCCAGCATTTTCCGTGGAATAGTGTGCGTGATGGTGGCGGCCTGGCATTCGAGATGGTAGCAGCAGCATCGGCGTCTGACTTCCACTGACCGAAGGAGGCGAGATCGGCATCAGGATCCACAGTGGCGCAGAGGACGGAGCACGTAGTGCGCCGCCGACGGAGGGAGCAGACGGGACAACTTTCATGTGGGAGATTCCGGTGCGTCCGTTCGAGCCGCTTTTGCGGCAGCCGAAGAGGCATCGGTGATGAACTTGGGCTTGACATTGTACCATTTCTTGCGGACGGAGTTGTAGTGTTTGTAGAGTGGAGTGGAGGCGCGAGCCTCCAATGGAGTGTTGGGCGTGATCTGTGCGGAGCGGATGTGACGGACGAGACGGGCGAGGGATTTGACGGGACAAAGCCAGGGGTCAGCGGTAACCCGGTTAGCCCGGTGACCCACCGAGTCGCCTTTGACGGCGTTCTATTGGTCAGTGAATGTCAGAGAAGCCGCGGTGAGGCGAATGGGGTCAGACACGTCATTCAAAGAGATCTGGTCAGCGGTGACTTGGAGACAGACTCAGGCGAGTGGTGAAGTGATTCCGGCAGAGGCGAAAGGCCTGGCTTCGGGGCTCAGGGTTACTGGTGTCGAAGTATTCAGCAGGGCGGAGGATCCAGAAGAAGGCGCAGATGCCGACGAGGTTC